TCTCAATCATCCTCACTCTCAATTGTTCACTGTTTCTCTTCCTATTGTTTCTTTACTACATTCAGACACGCCTGTCTCCACCATACTTAAAAAAAATACTCACTAGACCACACTGTTCCATCAAGCTATCATACTCTTTCTCTTTCTCTTCTCAGCCAAACTCCTAAGAAAAAATTGTCCATATCCTCTGCCCTTGCTTCATCTCTTACCAACATCTTGATCCTCTGTAATATGGATTCTGATCTCACTACTCAAATAAAGCTGCTCTTTTCCAGTTATGAATGACCTCTTGATGGACAAATCTAACAGTCTTTTTTTTTAGTCCTTTTCATTCTTGATCTCTATTCTTTATCTGACAGTCTTGATTCATTTCTTATCTTGAATACTCTCTCTTTTCTGGGTTTTTGTTATTCTCTTGTCTCCTGGTTCTCTTTCTGTCTGACCGTGACTTCTCGGTGTCTTTTTTTGACTCATCACTCATACCCAGGGATATGATGGTAAATATTTAACAGACAGCTCTCTGAGAAAAAAATATACACATGACTCACTTTTGGGGTTGTTTGTTTTTTAAGATAATTGGGGTTAAGTGACTTGCCCAGGGTCACACAGCTAGTAAGTGTCAAGTGTTTGGTCTGAGGCTGGATTTGAACTCAGGTCCTCCTGACTTCAGGGCTACTGCTCTATCCACTGTGCCACCTAGCTGCACCCAACACAGCTCACTTTTAAGTCTAATATACATTAATAACATTTTTTCCAACACTTAAGTCTAGACAATTAACAAAATGATAAATTAAGCCTTGATTCATAGAGTTGAATGATTTCTAAGGTGTAAATGCTCACTCTGGCTCCAGCATATGCTTGTATCACATCCCATAATTATAAATGTTCTGTAAGACTCTGTTCTGGACCATTTTCTGTTTCTCTACTCTCTCTTAGTGACTTCATTAGTTCCCTGGGTTTAATCATCATCTCTATGTAGACTACCTACAGATTCATATAGTCAGCCCCAGTCTCTGCCCTGAACTTCAGCCCTGACTCTCCAACAGTTTACTTTATATTTCAAATTGGATAACCCAAGACATCTCAATCTCAACATGTCTAAAACAGAATTCATTACTATGCCTTCCCAAACCCCCCTGTCTTTGAAGTTTTCCTACGTCTGTCCAAGATGCAAACGTTCTTTCAGTCTTCCAGTTTTATAACCTTGACATTAACCTAAATTTCACAACCCCTCTGTTTCAAAAGTTTCCAAATCATTATGATTTCATACCACCTCTTGCATCTGACCTCTTTTCTGTACTTATGGTCTGTACCTTAGTTCAAGTCCCACATATCTCACTTGGTCTATTACATTGACCTCCTATTTGGTCTCCCTGACTCGAGTGTCTCCTCAAACGAATCCATCCTCCATACAGCTGTCAAGCTTTGTTAAGTACAAATTTGACCACATCATTTCTATACTCAATAAACTCCAATGATTTCTTACTGTCTCCAGGTCCAAAAATAAGCATCTATCCTTTGCCTACTATTAGAACTCACCTTCCATGCCCTCCAACTCTGGCTTCCTGTATGTGTTGTTTTGAATTATTACAAGTTTTTTGAGAGTAGGGACTCTTGTTGGTTTGCATTTGTATGCCCAATGCTTAGAACATTGTCTGATACATAACAAATAGTTAATAACTCCTTTTTCTTTCATTCATTCATTCAAGAGAGAATATATAAATTCACTCTTTTAATTAATATTTCTTTTTAGTTACTTAGCATTTCTCTAGAGCTTTGTGTTTATAGAGTACTTTGAAATAATTATTGAATATTTGCTTTAATACTTGTACAGATAACATGATTAGCAAAATGGCAGAGAAGATGTTTTCTGCAAACTTCTCCAATCCCAAAACCTCAGAAAAAGAAATTATGTGCTAAATATTGGTTAACTAGAGCTCAATCCACCAGCTAAGAAGACAGAAACATTTTATAAGATAAAAAAAGACATGAAATAACATGAGTTAAGTTAAATTCTTTGGGGCCCTACTCAGTGTCTCCACCCCTCACCTCATTACATATATCCTAGGTGTAATGTACATAAGTATCACTTCAGGCTTTTGCTTCACATTTGATCTGTAGGGCCTTTACCAAGTTCCCTTACATTGAACCCTACCTCTTGCCCCATGGTAGACATTGATTCTGGCCACTCAAAAGAAGGGGAGTGCAACTGGAGGGGATGAAGGAAACATGGTCATTCTGTTGTATAGAGCCAACCAGAGGAAATGACCTTTTATGCCTGAGTTTTCCCCAGGATAGGAAACCAAGGTAGGGCCATTTCTCTCCATTTTGAGTTTAATTTGGATAAAGCCTCTGGCCAGGTTCATAAAGCAAGAAGAAAATTATAATGGAAGGAGGCTGAGGAAACAGCCTTGGTCAGGGTTGGGTGGGAGTGAGCAGAGATGTAGCAGTTGAAAGTAGAGGAATCAAAGACCGAATAGTGAGTTAAGAGAGACAAGTACCTAGATATAAGATAAAGGTTGAAAGACCAAAAATCCAATGGAGAAAGCTTGAATAGAAACTGAGCTCATAAGTAGGTCAACCAACAAAGAAGCTAAAGGTAGAAGGAATAAGAAGTTAAAACTGGTTGAGAGACCATAACACTGTGAACAAATATTTTGCCATGAAAAGAAATTGGAACAACCCCTATTCAAAAGTATAATTCTGAAGATTTTCCAGAGATCATGGAATAATAGCAAGAAACACTACTGTGTTTCAAAGAACAAATAAAACTTCAAAAAAGATATTAGAAATTTAATTGGGCTTACAATCAGAGTTCTCAACACAAAATTTAAAAGCACAAACAGTAGGGTACAGATTTAGAAGACACAACAAAATGACATTATCACAGACATACTGGCTCTATAAAAGAAAAACAGGTTCTGAACATAAAAATATGGAAATGGAAGAAAACTTGGCAGAAGGGAAGCAAATGGTAGCAATTTTAAAAGAACACACGAATCCTTTATAAACAAAAGGAAATATTCTTAAAAACAAGATATTCAAAGATTACCTAAGGATAACAGGTCTCCCAGGAAAATATAAAAATAAAAACTCCAGAATATCATATTGCAAGAAATAATATCCCTCCCTTCAAAACAATAACAATAACAACAGTGCTTTCTAGGATTTTTGAATAGAGACAATAAAGCTTTGATAGCCCAAATCTACAGATCACTACCAGAGGAAAACTACACCTTTGAAACTTCAAGGCACATAGTGGTTAAATTTCATAGTTTCCATAAGAAACAACAAATTTTTCAAGCAGACAAGAGACTTTTAAACGTGAAGAAACACCAATTTGAAAACCTCAGGATTATGCTTCAGTTGTAAAAACTTGCAAAGATAATGAAGTAATGTTTCTTTTGAGGATGCCAATACCCTTCTGTTCACTCAGGTACATAACCTCAGTGTCATCCTCAAGTTCTCACTGTTTGACCCACATATCCAAGCAACTGACAAATCCTGCCATTTCTATCTCCATAGCATCTTTTGAATACATTTCCTTTTATCTACTTATATGGCCATCACTCTTATACAGGCCTTCATCACCTCTTATCTGAATTGTTGCAATAACTTCCTAATTTTTTTCCCTCTATTAAATCTTTGCCATTTCCAAAACCATCCTCCTCCACACTGCTGCTAAAATGATTTTCCTAATGGTCTGAATGTGCTACTTTCTTACTCAGTAAACATCAGTGGTTCCTTTTTGCCTCTAGAATCAATCAATTAATGAATTAATAAGAATTTATTGGCATTTAAATTCCTTTAAACTAAATAATGAAACTATTATTTATAAATATGTATGCAAAAATGGCATAGCAGCTAAAAGTTAATTGAATTGCAAAAAAGATATAGACACACAATATTTTTAAGGGACTGTAATGTTCCTCTCTTAATCCTAGATATATAAAACAAAAAGATAAACAAAAAGGAAAATATCAAACTGAACCAATTGCTGGAGAAGGTATATTTGAGAGCCTTGTTACCCTTCTGTATGGGCACATTAAATAAAATGCATAATTCTCAGCAACACTTGATATATTTACAAAAACAGACCATGTGCCAAAGTACAAAGAAAATGTTTTCAAAATGTAAAGAAAGAGGTAGAAATAATAAATATATTCTTTAAAGACCATCATGCAACAAAAATAGTAGTTAACTAAGAGAATATGAGCAAAAGATATAAATCTAAATGTAGAGTTCATAATGACCTCATGAATGAATGGATCAAAGAATTCACAGAAACAGTAACCTAGTGAAATGGAATAAAAAGAGTGAGAAAACACAACAAAATTTGTAAAGCAAGACCAAGTGCGGGGGAAATCTCTCCTAAAACACATCAAAAAAAAAAAAGAGGGAATGGATTAACTGAGTATAAATTTTTTACTAGAAAATCAACAAATAAAGAAACCTCTAATGTAAATCTTGAAAATTACAAGAGAAACAGGTAAAATTAAAAATAAAAAGATTACAGAAATAATAAATGAAGTGCTAGATCACACAATGCATAGAGTGCTAGGTTTGGAGTCAGGAAGATCTGAGTTCAAAATTGACCTCAGACACTGGGTGACCCAGAGTAAGTCACTTAACTTCTGTTTCCTTCAGTTTCCTCATCTGCAAAATGAGGAAAATGATAGCACATACTTCCCAGAATTGTTGTGAGGATCAAATAAGATAATGTTTATAAAGCACTTAGTTCAGTGTTTGGCACATAGTAAGCACTATATAAATGATACTTATTATTATTATTATTATTAAAAGCTAGTTCTTTAAAAATACTATAAAAATCAATAAACATTTAGCAAAGCTGAATAAAAAAGTGGTTGGGAAGAAAAGTTATGCTACTGAATTAAAAATAAACAAGGTAAAGCTATAAAAGAGAAGAATAAAAAAAAATCAGACATATTTTAGTTTATGCTAGTAAAATAAGAATTTTAAAGAAATTAATGATTACTTACCAAATATGTAAAGCCCAAATTGCCAGCACAACCCAGTGGCAGAAAGATCACATTGAACAAGTCATAAAAGAAATGAAAAAGGGAAAGACCTTAGTCCAAATAGATTTGCTGATGAATTCCATCAAATATTTAGAGAGAAATTAATGTCTATGATATATACATCAACCTTAAAAATTGAGAATGAAAATATCTTACTAAACTCAACCAGGAAAAGATAAAGCAAAGGAAGGAATTATAGACCAATAACATTATTGAAAAAGTGTTGTAATATTAGGGGAAAATTCAAATGACATCCTAGCCAAAGGACTTTAGCAATATATTTCCCCAAAGTATTCATTATGTCCAAGTAAAATTTATAATAAAGATTCAGGGTGGTTCATTAGACCAACAATTATCAGAACTTATCAAATTAAAAATAGAAATATGCCAAACTACATGATTACATCAATAAATAAAGGAAAGGCTTCTGGTAAAATAAAACTCTTTTTTATGCTAAAAAATAAACCAAATAAAGTCTATGTTGAATATAATAAAATATCTAAAGTCAAACACTAGCATTAATATTACTAGAGAAATATTAAGACTTTCAAAAATAAAAGGTGTAAAGCAAGAGTGCCCCCATTCATACTGTTACTTTTCATAATTTTATAAGAGTAATGTTGGCAGTAAGATAAGAAAAAGAAATTAAAGATATAAACACTGGAAAATAGGAGGCATACTTAGCCTGTTCGCAGGTGATGGTTTACTTACAAAAAAAACCCCAGAAAATAAACTAGAAAACTAATCAAGACAACTGATATTTTCAGTAATATGGTGGGGTCCAAAATATTAAAATTTTGTAATCCAAAGTCATCAGCATTTCTATATAGCAATGAAAAAATATCCAAAAACAAACAATAGCAGGCAGACACCATTAAAAATAAACTTATTGTTATACTAATTAAGCTTCTGAGGAAGTACTTTAGAGAAGCAGAAACAATAATAACCACATATATTTGGAGGAACAAAAGATCTAGAATTTCAAGGGAAATAACAAAAAGAAGTTGGAATGAATAGAACATAACATTTATTGACCTCAAATTATATTATAAAATAGTAATCATTAAAAACTATTTGGTAGTGTCTGAAAGAGAAAAGCAAAGGGACAGACTAGATAAACAAGAATTAGAGGCAATCAGACTCATTAACCTAGGGCTTCATGAAACCAAGACCATAACCTAGTTGGGAAAGAACTTCCTTTATTTTCAAATACAACCAGGAAAACTGGAAAGCAGTTGGGTAAAACTAAGTTTTAGATAAAAATTTTACTGTATTCATCACAGTAGAAGGAGGAAGAGGAGAAGAGGAAGAAGAAGAAGAAGAAGAAGAAGAAGAAGAAGAAGAAGAAGAAGAAGAAGAAGGAAAAGAAAAAGAAGAAGAAAAAGAAGACAAATATATGTATAAAGATAGCTAACGCAAATATTATTAGTGAAATAAGATGTGAAAAAAGTAAAATAGATTATTTTGATTGCTTGACATTAAAAAGCTTTTTCATGAATAAAATCAACGTAGCTAGATTAAGAAGGAAACTGATAACTCGGAAAAATGTTTTTGCATCAGACATCTCTGATAAGGGTCTGACATCCAAGAACTGTAAGATGTTAACACAAATATATGCCAAAAAGTCATTCTCTAGTGGATAATTGAAAGACATGAGCAAATGATTTTCAAAAGGAGAATCATAAACTATTGACAACTATATGAACACTTGCTCCAAATTACTAACCAAAAAATCCAGACAATTTGAAACAATTTTGAGATTTCATCTTACAAAAAAATGGGCAAAGATGACAAAATATTGGAATAATAAATGTTGGAGGGGTTGTGTAGATAGATACACAAATACACTATTGTTTGAGCTGTGATTTGGTCCAACTCTTTTGGAAAGCAATTTGGAAATTCTGTAAGTAATGACTAAAATAACATGTCTAAATCATTGACCCCACTGCTAGTGAAAATAGAATTGTGATATATGTATATGCATACACACATATTACATTTATAGTAATACTTTTGTGGTAACAAATAATTGGAAATAACATAGATGCCTATTAATTGGGGAATTGTGGCACATAACTGTAATGGAATATGAAGAATTCAGATACATGAATTGATGTAAAATAAACTGAATGAGGAAAACAATATATATATAAAATATATAATGAATAAAATATAAACTGAAAGAACAATAAAACAAATAAATGCAGTGTAATTATGATGTCCAAGCTCAACCCTAGAAAAAATTTCATTTCATAGGTGGGTGATACAGGTTTCAAATATTATATATACTACAAGACATACTTAATGTATGGGTTGTTGTTTTTAAAGAAAATCATTGTTAGAATGGAGAGTTCCCTGGATAGGAACAGGGAAGCGATATATTTGGAAATGAAGGGAATATTTTTTAATTCTTTTTTTTATGTGAGGCAATTGAGGTTAAGTGATTTGCCCAGAGTCACACAGCTAGTAAGTGTTATGTGTCTGAAGCTGGATTTGAACTCAGATTCTACTGATTCTAGGACCTGTGCTCTATCCACTGCACCACCTAGCTGCCCCTGAAGGGAATATTTTAAAAGGCATCAATAAAAGTTTAAAAATTAAAATAACTACTAGCATTTATGATTTCATCCATTAGGGTTCTCCCTCTACTGATGCAGATCACAAGTAGCTCCACACCTGAGTTGATACCTTCCATGAATTGCTATTCTCCTCCCCCTACCCCCAAAATCTTCATTCTGTGGCCAGCTGCCTACTGATGAGCCTCTCCAAACTTATCTAGGCTAGGGGCAGCCAGGTGGAGCAGTGGAAAGAGCACCGGCCCTGACATCATGAGGACCTGAGTTCAAATCTGGCCTCAGTCCACTCTTGACACTTACTAGCCGTGTGACCCTAGGCAAGTCACTTAATCCCAATTGCCTAAAAAAAATATATAAATAAATTAACAGTGCAATAAAACAAACTTATCTAGGCTGGTCCTTGGACAACAGACATACATCTTATACTCAAACTCTTTTTATCTTGGAAGAACCTGCTAGAACTTGGGCCCCTCTTGCCTCTTCTTCCAGAAGCTAGAGTCATGTCCACACCATAATGAGGGACCAGAGTAGGACTTCTATGAACAAATTATTAAAGAAGCATATAACACATAATTATGTAAATAAATTCATCTCTCTAATTATGTTCCTATGATGAGAGCTATGCATTAAATGGATTTAATTGGTCCTCACAATATTCTTACCAGGTAAACACTTAACATTCTTTCCATCCTGTAAAGGAGAACAAAATATAGAGACCACACAGGCATTAAGAGGTTCATACAATATCACACATTATTCCCAGAAGTTGGGGTTTAAATTTACCAATCCCAAAATGTGGTCTTATATTCACAAAAGAGACATACTACCACCCGTAAAGTTGCAGGAAAATATGAGATCAGACACTTCATTTTAGTGATTTTTATCAACTTGAAATTTTTCTTTTAAAAAAATCATATTTAGAGCTTGAGAGGAATTTCTCTGCAATATATCTATAGTTATAGTTATCTATAGATCTATATCTATGTCTATCAATCAATGCAATTTTCAAATTTCCCTGGAGAACTTAGCTAGGTTTATATAATCAGTTGCCTTCAGCACTTCTTGCTCTCTCCTCTGATTTGAGTAATGAAAAATGAGTCTTTAATTAAGAAGAAAAATGAATGCACATGTTTTATAATATTCTTTTACTGTGAGATAGATACTCCCTCTCTTCTTTCCTTCCCTCCCACATTCCATTATATTTAAATAGGAATTAGACTTTTGTCTTCATTAGTATATGGAATTCCCAGTGAGAAATTCCCTCTACCAATGCAAATCAGCACCTTCTTTGAAATTTATAGTCTCAGAGTTGCCTGGAACACGGAGAGGGTCAGTGACATGCCCAGGGTCACACAACATATGTCAGAGGCAGAACTTGAACTCCAATCTTGTCGGCTCCAAGGCCTGCTTTCTATCCACTATAGCCTGGCACGTCCATGAAAATCTTTCATTCTGAATTTCTTCTGGCAGGCAAGAAAGGCCATATCTAGCATTTTCCTGAAGAATCAGCATTACCTCTTAACTGAGAGATTCCAATTAGTGGGAGATAAAGAGCAGATGAAGTTGCTGATTGGAAATTTTAGTGAGATAACAGCTTCTGTAATTCTGGTTTTCCATGAAAATCTATATACTAATAGCCAAATATTAATTCTTTTTCCTAAAAATCTGGAAAAGGTTCTGCTTTTTCTCTTTATTGTCAACAATATGAGAGAACTGTTAAAACATGATATGAACACATTTTAATTCAATTTAACCCATATTTATTAAGGACCTGCTAAGCACATGACACTGTTCCAGGTGCTGTATTTCTTATTATAGTGCTCTGGGGAGCATCAAGAAGAACAAATGCATAAAATGCATCGATGTTGGCATGCACAATAAAAGTCTGTGAATGAATGAAAAATTTGGGAGATGAAAAATCATTTTAACTCAATATATCATAAGTAATGGTATGTACCATCCTTTAAAAGAAAAGGAAAATTTCTCATTTGATTTAATGGGCAAATCTGAATGTCAATCCTCAATCTTAACAGTTCTAGTGAAGCAAAGACTGAGCATGTGCAAGAAAACATCATTACATTGCCCTCTGGTGGTGTCAGGATTCATAGATATCTCCCTGCCTTGAAATCTGGAACCCTTGGTGGCTCTTGGATGATCAATGAAGAAAGCAATTGATTCTGGGATGGAGAGTCCTAGAAAGGGAATGATGGGTGAATGACAATATTACAGGGAAGGGAGAATGGGGGAAAATGAAGAGAGGTGAAATTACTGAAAAGAAGAATGGGGAGACACTGAAGAGTTTTGGGAAAGGAGAAAGGAAGGAAGGAAGGAAGGAAGGAAGGAAGGAAGGAAGGAAGGAAGGAAGGAAGGAAGGAAGGAAGGGAGGGAGGGAGGGAGGGAGGGAAAAGAAGAAAGGATT